TTTTTTTTTTTTTTTCCTCTTCTTTTCTTTCCCCCTTCTGCCTTTGTCCCGCTTAGTAACTGGGCTCCGACCAATCGCCGACTCACCGGCCAGCGCCGGCTGGCTCCCGATTGGCCCGCTTGGAGCGCGCAGCCGTCTCCCGCTCCTTCTCGGGAGCAAAGGCAGACAAAAGACGCAGGCTCCGAGCTCCGGCAACCGGGATCAGCCAATCACCACTCACCTTTTCCTCTCTTCCACCTCCTTCCTTCTCCCCTCCCTCCCTGCTTGGCTCGCGAGCTCCCGGCACTGACTCCTGGCGTGCGGCCAGCGCCCGGGCCGTACCATTCTGCTTGACTTTGAGGGGGAGAGGATGGGTGGTTAAGGAGCCGAGACCAAGAGAGCTGTGGGGAGAGTTAAAAACTGAGATGGAGAACAGTTTTTTGAACATTTTGTCGGGCATCTGAGAGAACCCACAGTATATCGAGGTGGAATAAAGGGGAAGGGACAGTGGGGATACTAGCTGTCCTCCCTATGTGGCGCACCAAGGTGGCGCCTCAGGAGGGGAGCGTGGGGGCGGGGGCGGGTGTTCCCCTCCGCGCCGTTAAAATGAAACTCTAGTGGCTGGAGTCCGGGCAGAGCGTGAGGGGAGCCGGCGCAGGCGGGCTTGCGTACGGCCCGGCGGGAGCTCCCAGTCGAGCAGCGCTAACTGGACTCTCTGAGAGGCCCCAGTTCCGAGGCTGCAGCAGCTTCGCTTCCGAGCCCAACTGGAGCGGAGCCCGAGTCCCCGTCCCTGAGGGGATCGTTCTCTGCAGACCAGTGGGACCCCGAAACTTGAGCGCAATACCCATCTTCCTTTTTATGCCTGCTTTTGTCACTTACCCACCTTTATACCAACGCGTTCTTTTTTTTCCCCTCCCCTCTTCATTCTCTCTCCCTCGAAGGACTTAAGTGGCTTCCGTGGAAAGATTTGGAGGCGGTGGAAGCTTTTCTCTTTGGAGAGAGCTGTGTTGAAGGGATTTTTGGGAAACTGCTTTTTAACACCTTTGCCCTCCGTCCCCCCAAGCCTTTCTGTAATCCCTTGAGGAGAAAAGCCCGTAGATGGAAAGTTCGGGGGCATTTTCCTGAGGGTTGTAGGAGGAGAGAGGGGGAGGACCCCGTCCTCGTCCTGGTAGTTGGCTGGACTTGTACGGGCAATTGGAAACCCGAAGTACATTTCCGTGTGGGACTTTTACAGATACATATTTTTAGATTTTTAAGTATCCGATAAAAAAATATATGCTTTCTATATATTTTCTGACGACCTGCCCCTGACAGCGCGATGTACAATACCGTGTGGAGTATGGACCGCGATGACGCAGACTGGAGGGAGGTGATGATGCCCTATTCGACAGAACTGATATTTTATATTGAAATGGATCCTCCAGGTACTTGGGAGAAAAAGGAATCTTGTGGTGGGTCTGATATGTGTTCAACAAGATCTTGATGTTTCCAGGGTAGAAGTATTCGTTGGTGCGCTAGATGGGATGAGGGGCAGATTTGCAGTTAGAGCTGCAGTAAAACTCCTTCTGATTTACACGTTTAAAGTTTGCAGTTAGGACCCTGATCCTATTGTCCTAGAGGGTGGGGGTGGGGGCTGGAGTAGGGGTGGGAGGAGAGACCCGTTTCTTTTACTTCTTTGCCTCTTTGCGTGTCCAGTTTTTTGTCGTGTCCCCCACCCCCATCACCCCTTTTTTTCTTTTTCAATTAAAGATTCTACCTGCAAAGGATGCTTGATATCCTAGACTTGAAGTCAGTCTTTGCCTTTGGGGAAATTCTTTAAAGCTTGACACTTAATATGTTTGTCTCATTTGGTTCGTTGTGTTTTCCCTTCGTTAACTTCTCAAACTGGGTTGCCTATGTGATTATTTATTTCATACCGAAATCAAATGCCGGTTAGTGATTTTAACGGATTGGGCGTTTTTATTCAGTTATGGCCTTAGTCTGAGGTTTTTCTTCTCAGAATATAGTCGCTCATAGAGATCTATGTGCAATATTTTATTACTCTTTAATTTATGGTTACTTAATTTATGAGATAGGGTTTAATGTAACTTCAATTCTTAGAGTGAAGAAAGGAGGAACCTTTTTGTGTAAATGTATATGATGTGTACATATATGTGATAGGTTTGAATACACATAATGTGAATGGTACATATACTGTATTTTTATTTTAGAGCTTTGTCTGAGACCCTTACAGACATTTTGTGTATCTGGTAGAAAAGGAGAAAGAAGGGAAATGGAAAAGTTGGGTAATTTTTTTCGTTAAAGTCTACCCCATTTAATGGTTATTAGCTGTCAGATTTTCAAACCCTGTTTGAATTATAGACAGTGCTGTATGTAATGATTTTGAATAAGGAGAGGGCCTTTGTGACTCCTTATTTTTGTTGAAGATGAATTCATCTTGTCTTTTAAAAATGTCTTACAGCTAAACCTACAGAACAAATTGTGTGTCATTGGGGAACCTCAATTATTATAAGAATATTTTTAGAAATGTTTGAAAGGATTTGAGCCCATGCAAGTGTGATGAAGTATAACTGTTTTATAGAACATATGTAGAAATTATCCCCTGTGTCCTTGTGAACGGTGAATTATCCTCTTTGTTTTTTTTAAATTAGTCATAGTACTAAATGATGCTATATTAAAAACTAATATTGAATCAACCTTTGTCACTCTTAGTGATCTCTTAGAATTTTTTTCTTTTCCCCTTATTTGGAGCCTTCTTTATTTGTATTATTATTATGACTGCAATCCAGATGCAGCTTTCTGGTGTTACACAAAGTTTGTGAGATTTGCCACCCATCTATTGTGTGTATTTCCCCCTTTGTTTCCCCAATGGTAAAGTATCATTTCTATTAGATGCGTTTGTCATTCATGTACATGGAAATTTAGTACATCATTGGTTCCTGTCCTCTATAAAGTAGGGTTAATAATTCTAGATTTGTTATTATAAGAATTATATATTCAAACTGCCTTACAATCATATAGTATCTTGCCTTGCAGACATACAAAGGGAATTTGTATGGGCGGAGAGGTGAGTGGGGAGGAGGGGAGAAAAATAAAGAAGGCACTGATGTTTGAAAAATATGGGCCTAGTAGAAAAATATTGGCCAAGTTGAGCTGAGTTGTCCAAAAATGATTTTTTAAAAAGTTGACGAATTATGTAGTGATGTGGGTCCTATAAGGTTGTATAGCAAATTCTGATCCAAACTGTGTATTTCATGGAAATAAACTTTTGAGTTGAAAATGTTCATCCTTGAATGAAATTTTGCATACTGAGATTCTATTCAGAATATTGAAAATATGTATATGCTGTTGTAACCTTAATGTAGAATACAGTTAGTTATTTCTGGAAGCTTTTTAAAAGGAAGCACACTTGAATGTGCTGAAATAGTGTCTATGAAGTGAATGTTTTTTAATGGAAATAATATGAACACCAACCTTGTTTTGTGTGATAAATTAAGTTTTTGAAACATTTAAAACTAAGTAAATAATAATAAACAGAGAATAATATTTAGGTGGCAGCATATCCTGTATCTGTCTTTTTCCTAGACCCTATCCCAGTTCAAGCTCTTATTTCCTTCCTGGACTGGACTGTTATGGTAGCACACTAATTGTTCTCCCTCTGTTTCTATTCTGTGTGGTTCATAGTAGTATTAAAGTATCATCTAATGATTTGCCTTCCAATGGTAAATCTTCCAACGACTTCCCTTTGCCTACTGAAAAAAACCCCAGTTTGCTCACCCTGTCATATATAAGTCCCTCTGTTTTTGCTACCAACCTAATTTTCCAGCCTAGTCTCCTCCTGGAGTCTATCACAAGTTCTATGGAAGCAATTCTGTACTTGCTGTTCCTTGAATGTATGCTTTTTCCTCTTCCTGGGATGCTTTTCACTCCCAGTGGTTACTTGTTGAAATTTTGTATATTTATATGAGTTTAGAGCCCAGGTTAGACGCCTTCTTTACCAGGATGTGTGTTCCCCAATTCCTGTGTTAGAAGACATGTTCCCTTCCTTTTCTCTCTCTCTCCTAGCATTTCTTAGAACTTCTAGTTTATCTAGAGTTGCTTCTGCATTTAGTTAGTACACTTTCCCCATGGAATTGTCTTCTCACCAGATTATGAGCTGCTTCGCTTGCTCAGAATCTTGCAAGTAGTAGACAATTTAATACATATGTATTGAATTAATAAATACGTAAGGAGCACCATTTCTTTCTAGACTTTTAAGTGCTTTTCTACTTAAAAGTCCTTGGTCACCTTTCTTTGGCTATTGGAATAGCCTAGGGTTAAATAACTTCTGAATTACAGAGTTGTTGACTTAGGGCCCTTAACTGTAATATTAATATTACAGTTTTAAGAATATGGTTTATTTACATCTTGATTTTAGACTGAACCAAAAATGCACAATTATCTATTATTGCTTCCAGTGGCCTCAAAAACTGGTTTTCAAAGACGTTTTTCTCCAGCTTATCTTTTGAAAAAGTACCATTGCCATGCATCCTGAAGGTTTCTAATAACTGCATAGATTGCTACATCTACTGTTACTTACTGCAATGTAAGGAATGGGAATTTGATGTCTTAATCTTTATGTATTTCCCAGAAGCAATAGAAATACTGAATTGTTTAGATGAAACATTGAAACATACTTTTTTTTGGAAAAGTTAAGATTGTGGTACAGAGAATTGCTTATAAGTATCTTGGTTAATCCTGTTGTTATTTGGGAATTGGGGTTATTCTCTAATAGGCCTCTCAAAGAGCCCTGCTTTTGGTATATGAGCTACTGGAGGATTATCAATACATAATTGATCATAAACTCATGCTCAAAGCTTATGTAGATAGTGGTCTAGTAGCTTACAGTTTATTTTGGACATTGTCATTGTTTTATTTTGGGAAGATGTAATAATTTCTTTTAAAAGTTAATGAATATAATTCTTTTTAAAATTGCAGACTTTTTTTGTCTTAATAAAGACAAATTTCTGAAATTATATGTAGGGCAGCAGCATCTCTTCAGTAGTACAGTTGACCCTTGAACCACATGGGGGTTAAGGGTGCTGACCCCCCATGTGGTTGAAAATCTATGTATAACTTTGACCTCCCCGAAATTAACTAATAGCTTACTGCTGACCAGAAGCCTTAGCAATAACATAAATGGTTGATTAACACATATTTAGTATGTTATGTATTATATACTGTATTCTTTCAGTAAAGTAAACTAGAGGAAAGAAAATGTTTTTTCAAATTTTCGCAAATCTCCAAAATTTTTTCCAATATATTTGTTGAAAAAAAAAACTGTGTATAAGTATAAGATCTGTGCTGTTCAAACCTGTGTTGTTCAAGGGTCAACTGTAATGGGAAATGAAAAGTTTTAATTGTTCAGCCGAACATGAATATAGAAAGGTCCAGAAAAGCAGTTCTCAATTATTTTGGTCTCTATACCTCTGTTATACTCTTTTTTAATTTTAATTTTAATTTTAATTTTAATTTTGGTATCAATCTACAATTACATGAACATCATTATGTTTACTAGACTCCCCCCTGTTATACTCTTAAAATTAATTGAAGATCCCAAAGAACTCCTGGTTTGGTTATATTTATGGATATTTACTGTTTTAGAATAAAACATTTAAAACATATTTAATTTATTTAAAAATAATAAAGCATTATGTTAACATAACTTTTGGAAAAAACCTATATTTTCCAGAAAACAAGAAAAAAATTAGAAAAGCGTCATTGTTTTACATTTTCGCAAATAACTTTGATGTCTGTCTTTTTAATCTTTAATGCCTGGCTTAACAGAAGACATCTAAATTCCAGGTCTGTTCCTGCATTCGGTTTGTTGAGACATCACAGGTCATCATAGTCTCTGGAAAACTCCACTGTATAGTTGTGAGAGAATGAGAGTGCAAAAAGCAAATAATGTCTTAGTAATACCATGAAAATATTTTTGTCCTCTTGAACCCTCTTAAAAGGCCTTGGGTCTCTGGACTACACTTTGAGAACCACTAGTCTAGAAGTTACTTGACTACATAGTTTGATGGCCAACCTAGTAAAGTATCTTCTGACTTTTTTGAAGCCAGATAAAAAGATGATTTCAGGAAACATACTTGCTCACTCTGGTATAGCTGGTATTTTCATCCTGGTGAAATTTATATTAAGTAACATTCTGGTGGACAACTGGCACTCCGGCCATGTGGTTGGGGAAAATAATTGAAGAAATAGTTCACCTGCTACCATGTGGTCCTTACTCTTAAGCAGGTTGGGCATTCTACTTCTGTGGTTGAATTTTTCTTTATAACTCTGAACATTTGATGGGTTGGTTCTTCTTATATAAATGTTTCTCCTGTGTGTGGTAAGATACTTCTTTTGAGCTAGGTATCACTTTTTAATGATATTG